CTCTCGTAGTCTGCTGATGCAGTGAAGTCAGATAAGGAGAGGGTGAGAGGGAGATGGTGGACTGAGAAGAGGAAGAAGAAGAACTCTCTCTCTCTGTCACGAGCCAGATACTAACCTGTGAAATTGGCGTTGTGCTGCAGGTACCTCGAAGACGAAGCTGGAGCAACAGCGCTGCAGGTAGGTACTCCTGGCCTCCGCCCAATCTCTCTCTCTCTCTAGTGCTATCCTAGCTATGGCACCCAGCGCTGAAGACTACAACTACCTACTGCGCCCAGTGTTGAAGACTATTGCTAACGCTACCACTACTCCTGCAGCGCTCCCTCCATAGTGCTGCTGCCAAATCCTGAAGACACTGATTGCCTCCTGCCTCCCCGTGAAGTGCATAGGAAGTCCCTATGTACTACCTCGGCCTGCCTCCTAACTGCTTGCAGGGCGAGCCAGGCCAAGGAGGCTGCTCTTACCAATGCCGAAGTGTGCCAGGGGCTGGCGCTGCAGCATCTGCTGAGGCTGTCGTGGGAACAGGCTAAGAATAGCCTGTTCCCGAAACCCTAGTTCGGTGCCTGAGTTTTAGGGCCGGTCGTTCTGATGAGCGACCGAAAATGGCCGTTCATTTCAGGCTAAAAAGGCTATTGCCATTTTTAGTCTGAAACGACACAGGGTCTGTAGGCCCCTGTTTTTCAGGTTTTTGGGCTGAACAGACACGGGGCCAGTAGGCCCTGGTTGTCAGGCTTTCAGCCTGAGGGACGCAGAGCCTGGAAAATGGCCCTCGTGTGCAGGTGCAGCATGTAACCCCCCCCCCTCCTTATGACGTCAAGCCGGGGCGAGGGCGAAGCCCACGATCTGAAGGTGGAACCTAGACGCGGGCGCGGCGTGGAGCTGAAGAGACCGGCTTGCCTTGCATCTTGCGTTCGTAGAGTGCGAGAACGTCTGGAGCTGTTGCTTGAGGTTCCGCACGGGTGCGGTCGTAGACGATTTCCTGGGGGTAACCCTTGGTTCGAATCCAACCGGCATAGAAAACCTCAACAATTCCGGTGCCTTGGCATGATAGCGACAAGGCAAAAACATGGCGAACTTGTTGAGTCGGTCGACCACCATAAGAATCCCATCCAATCAGGTCTTGTGCTTGGGGAATGGGCCGGTAATGTCCATGGCAATCGCTTTCCTTCGCCTCAACGGGACCGGTAATGGTTTTAACTCGCCGTACTGGCGATGGTTGTGGGATTTGCAGCGTCGGCAAACCTCGCATGACTCGCAATAACACGTGACATCGCCGAGAAGGCCGGGCCACCAAAATCGCTCGCAAAGTCGGCCAATCGTGCGATTGACTCCAAAGTGTCCGGTGGCGGGAGCATCGTGGAACTCGCAAAGAAGCTGTGTACTCAAGTGAGGATCACTCGGTACGCAAAGAAGGTCCTTCCCCCGCGTGTGGACAAGCAAGTACCCCTCTAGCCGGATTAGGAGAGGAGCGATTCGCGTACTTGTCGCAAAACTCGAGGTCGGCTTGGTAGCCGCGGATGAAGCTGTTCCGCAGGTCGTCGTCGATCTCGAAGGTTGAGTAGACCGTGGTACAATGATCCGGACGCCGTGAAAGAGCATCCACAAAACGGTTCGACTTCCCGAGAATGTGATCGGGAAAGAAGTCGAACTGGTCGATGAAAGTCATCCATCGAGCGATGGCGCTGTTGACGGTGTCTTGGGTCTTGTAAAAGACCAACGGATTGTTGTCCGTTACCCATCGGAATTGGCTTCGACCAAGGAGGAAGTGCCGCCACCGCTTGAACGTGTGGACGAAGGCGAGGAGCTCCTTCTTGCGTGCATCGTCAATGGAATGCATGACGGGCACTTTCTTGCGGAAATACTCAACCGGGTGCTAGTCCACACCATCATGTTGCTCGAGGACGACACCAATGCCATAGCCGGACGCATCCGTAGTGACGCGCGTAGGCAAAAACGGGTCGTATATGCGCAAGACCTCCGCACATAATAGCGCGGCTTTGAGAGCCAAAAATAATTCCCGCGCCTCCTCTCCGAAGTCAAACGGCCGATCCTTGCATTGAAGCTTGGTCAAGTGGGCCGCGATCTTCGAGTAGCCTTTGATGAAACGCTGATAGTAGCCGGCGAGGCCAAGGAACGAACGGACATCTGTGACGTTCCGAGGCTCCGACCACTCTTGGATGGCTTGAATCTTGTCCGATAGCGGACTGATGCCCTCCGGTGTGACAAAATGGCCCAAGTATTCCAGCTCTTGCCGGACAAATTCACACTTGTCGCGGTTGGCCTTGTACTTGGCGCGGCGGAGCGTCTGCAACACTCGTCGAAGATGCCCAAGATGATCCTCCAATGTCCGGCTATAGACAAGAATATCGTCTAAGTAGACCAGCACGAATCGGTCCAACATTGCACGAAACTCGTTTGTCATTGCCGCTTGAAAGGTCGCCGGGGCGTTGGTGAGGCCAAAGGGCATGACCACCCACTCAAAATGCCCGTACCGCGTCTTGAACGTGGATTTGTAGCGATCATTTGGCCGGATCGAGATTTGATGATATCCCGATTTCAAATCCAACTTAGAAAAATACTTTGCGCCGCACAATCGCTCAAGAAGATCGTCGATGCGAGGAAGAGGCCCCGCATTCTTGACGGTTTGCGCGTTGAGCTTGCGGTAGTCGATACACAATCGTAGATCCTTGTTCTTCTTTCGGACGAAGAGAACTGGTGCTCCATATGGGGAGCTATTAGGGCGGATCCAACCCTTGGCCAACAAATTGTCGAGTTGTGCGAGAAGGACCTCAAGCTCCTCCTCGCTCATCCGATAAATGCAACCTTTCGGCGGCACGGCACCGGCCTCAAGAATTCGTCCAGCGACCGCACCACCCGGGGGTCCGAAGACAAGTCCGTGGGTGAAGAGTCGGCTACCGCGACGGTCCGTAGGAAACATAGGCCGATTTCCTCGGGCTGCTCGTAAGCGCAAGTTGCCCCGAATGATTTGGTCGTCACCACTTGGCACCGAATCGAAGGGTGCGGTAGAGGAATAGTACACGCCACTTCGGCGCCGAAGGCGTCGCTAACGCTAAGAGTATGCCGGTGGAAGTTGACCGTGTGATCCGCAATTGCAAGCCAAGGCATTCCCAGAATGATGTCGAAGTCCGTGTCCAAAATGCCGAACGTCACCGGTTCGCATGCATGAGGTGTGAAATACACCGGTACGGCCTCGATGTAACGGTCGAGAAGTTGCTGCGTCTTTCCATCCGCCAACTTGATCGCCGTCGGGTTTGCCTTCCTTCGAACTTGTGCACCAAGGCCAGCCTTTTGCATAAAGGATTGGCTCATGAAATTGCGAGACGCGGCGCTATCCAGCAAAGCGCTGCAGGACGCTTGCCCAACCTGGATGCGGACATACATGAGCGGTGCGTTGTTGTCATCGTACCGCTGCGTGCGAAACTCGCGGGCCACCTTGGTAGTATACGCAAGGATGTCCCCCACCGCAACTTCGTCATCCGTCAGCGAAGTTGGTGGTGCATAGAAGGATAAGTACGTGTGGAGATTAGCGCATAGTGTTGCGCATTGCGGTCCCGACAAGCGGCCCGTGGTCGGGAGAGGAAGCCATGCAAAGTCCTCGGACGTGAGCAGGTCCAATACCTCTATGTTGAACTCGCGCGCCGAATCCCGTGAAGAACCACTTGAAGACGATAAGTCGCCGCTGTCGGACGGAGAAGATGCCGCACACACGTCTTGTCCTTGAGCTGGAGTGCCCAGCGTAGGAACGAGCCGGGCAGCATAGTCCTCAAAAGAATATAGAAAAGGAGGACTATCGACTTCCGCATGCGCCTCAAAATGAAGGCCGGTCACTCGCGAAGAAACCTGTTCCGGAGGCGTCGAGAGTGTCGTCGAGTCACTCTCTGCGGTTCTCAGCTTCCCTGCTTGCCCTTGCCTTTCAATGGGCAGGCCAATCTCTCATGGAGATCGTTGTTGCACCATAGGCAATAGTGGAATCTCGTGCACGCCTTGAATGCTTGCTTGGAGATGCCGTATTGGGACCATGGGGTTGGAGTTGTTGCGCCGGGCCCGGGGCTAGATGTGGTGTGAGTCCTCGTCTTGCCGCGTCCTCGGCCTTTGCCGGGGCGGCCACCTTCCTGGGCGGCTGTGAGTCTGTCCCCTTCATTGGCAGACACGGCCTCGCTAGATTGGTCAAACGGCGTTGCCGCCGCGACCACGACCACTCTTGGCCGATGCTGGTCTCTGCTCGGGCCTGCCGCAGACGAACGCAGGTTTTTAGCCTCCTTGTTCGTGATGATAATCTGCGCGGCCTTGTCAAAGAGTTCCGCCGTCGTCGTCAAGGTGTCCTCGACATGAGTCAGGGCATTGCTTAATGTCGGACATGACCTTGAGATGAAATAGTGGCAGATGGCTTTGAAGCCCATCTGGATGTCTGGGACTGATGTCAAGCGTTGGTACTCGGCAATCCAGTCGGTACTCGGCAGCATGCCTTTTTCGAAGACCATGAGCTTGTCCATAGCCTTGATCTCCGGCGGCTCAACTTGGAACCGCTTGTGCCACGCCGCCTTCAGATCATCCCAACTGATCTTGGTGTGCAAGTCGCCAGCTACTACTCCGTACTTGGACAAGAGGTTGTCCAACCATGCCTGGCACGCGCCCCCCGACCGGGAGTATAAGTACTCGTGGTGCTTGTGTTCCTTGACGTAGTATAGCTGTAGCGTGAGCTCGAACTTGCAGAACCATGGAATCGGATCTGTCTTCGTCGAGTCGCAGAAGATCTCCTGTCCGTCAAACTTTGGAGCTGTTTCGTGCGGTTCTGAACTTGAGTGGTTGGCGGCAGTGCAGATCCGTTGTTCCAACTGTTGCGTTGTGGTCCGCTGTAACTGCACGCCGTCCTTGAGGGAGCCCACGTCCATCTCCAATGCTTCGAGGCGATCGGAGGTGTTGGAAAAGCTTGCATCGGGGGCGGCGACAGGTCGCTGCTCCAGCTGCCGGTGGCGGCCGTGGGCTTGAGCTAGTGAGTCGTCGAGGTTGTGGATGTCCTCCTGTTGTGTAATGCATGTAGCCAGGAGGTCAGTGAAATGGGACAGAAGGAGAGCGATCTTGTTTTCGCCATTCTCGCCCTCGGTCCGCCATTCCGCTGCCATTATGAGCAATGTTTGCTCTCCGCTAAAGGGCTGGCATGCCCTGCATGCAAGCAGCAGAACCAAGGACTTGCGGCAAAGCATGCCTGTACTAGTCCCAACGGGGTGGCATGGTGACCGTGACCCGAGTGCTTCGTCTAGGGCCCTTCAGAGGCTTCGCCCGTCTCCCACCAGCTTGCTGCCCAGAAAGAATGTAGACTCTCAAGGTTGAGCGCTTGCAACACCTCACATCGAGAGGACTCTCAAGACAAAACTCACTTCCTCACGGTAAGAAGTACGAAGAGGGTAGATAAGGAAGAGAGCAACGTACCTCATAATGCTGCCCCCAACCACAGATTTCTCACCGGCAACCTGATGTGCAATTATGATGACCGGTCTTTGCCTCGGCACAATCAGAATTTGTGCTACTGATCATCCTGAAAATCCTGAAATTTCGATGAATTTTTTTTTGGCAAAATTGCCTGAAAATGCACTTTTGAGGTGCTGTTTTATGTGTTTTTAATTTATTTTTTTTTGTTTTTTTTTTATAACGTGTTAGTAAGAAGTGCACTCTATACATTGGTGTGGAGTTTGCTTGAAATGGCCTTATGGTTTAGTAAGAAGTGCACTCTATACATTGGTGTGGAGTTTGCTTGAAATGGCCTTATGGTTTTCTTATAAATTAAGGTGAAAAATGGGGGGTCGGTTAACCGACTCTCCGTATGTCACCACATAGCTCCCTGGCGTGCCCACACGACCCTGGGCCGCCCTATGTTCAACGCCCAAGCCTTATCACTGCCCCACACCTCATGCGAAGCACCGAACAGCTATTGCGAAGAACCAATGAAGCGCAATATGAACCAGCTCCGATACCAAATTGCAAGGAAAATAAGCAACAGCGAGATGACAAATTCCAGATTACACCATCACATTGAAATCCAGATAGTCACACTGTGTCCGGGGAGCAGCATTGCACCAATAATACACCAATGGAGGTTCGTGGTACTGAAAACCAATGTTAAGGAGAGCTTCTCTCTCCGCCACAACACAAGAGTCCAGTCCCTTCCCACTCCTACTTGGCGCTCAGCGACGAGCCTACTCCTACACAGTTACGATCAGCCTACTAATAGACAATTCAACTGTTGACATTAGCGGCAACCCGAAGTACTTGAAGATGTCGCCCAAATGCAGGCCATCGCCAATACAAGGTATGTGCCCTCACATCATCATCATCATCATCCTTCGCCCTTCCCTGACTTTACACCTACGTCTTCCTCCCTTACACCCGAAGACCAGCCCTGCGCCTCACTGTACATCCAAGCCCAGCCCGCTATGAAGGATGGCTATGGCGCTGCCCTCAGCAGCGCCCTGCTTCACCACACGACCGCACGTGCGCAGCCTATTGCTCCCAATGCCAGCAGCCAGCCCGCGAGCTATCGCTGCAGCAGCGCTGCCGCCAGCCAGCAAGTGACCGAATGAGACTGCCGGGGGAGAGCTCTTTCCTTTATGGAAAGAGCTGGCCTGCTCGCTCAACCTGGCTGCACTGGCCTGGGCCCAGAAGCCTCCGGAAGGCCCCAGGATGCTGCCTTTGCTCTACAGCTACTGGGCCTCGTTCGGTTGGGCCTCCCAACTGTCAGTGTACGAGGCTGCCATTCACGCCCAGGGCCTGCATTCTTTGGAAAGGCCCGGTAGGCCGTGAAAATGTCTTTGTTGCCCAGCCTGCGTTTTTCTCAACCAACTGGCGCGTCGCAACTGCCTGTACCTCAAATATGAAATTGACAGTCAAAGGCCTTTTGTGAAATATCAGGCCCGCCTTCACTTAGGGCGGGCACCACTGTAAACGGGGCCCCTTAAGCCTACCGAGGACCCAAATCCTCGCATTCCCTCCTCCTTTACTTCGTTAGTCCACTGAGAAGTCTCTCATTCTACAGACATTTTCCCTTTTCGTTCTCTTCCATAGCCTGCAATCACTTGAGGTGTTGTTCTCAGGAGTTCTTCTCGTGTGAACCAGCGATCTTCCTTGGGATCGAGGTGATGTCTGAAGCTCACACGATACTGCATTCTCGGTTTAGGAGGATGCCCTCTGCCTGATGGTCGAGGAACAGGCATCATTCGATGCTCCACGATCTAATCGATGTCCACCTCGCCATCCATGGTTGGGGGCAACATTGATCTTCTTGAAGGAAACTGGTCAGTAGCAGCGAACGGTGCCAACTTAGAGGCATGGAACACAGGGTAAGTGCGTAAGTGGGCAGGAATACGAATCACGTATGAAGGCCCATCAGGTTGATCCCCTACAATGTCTAAGATCTCCCAGGGACCAAAGTACTGTGGCATCAGTTTTCATGATATCCCCATCTCCTGACCTAGTTCAGATGACTTTACCCAGACTCTATCACCTACCTGAAAGTTAGAAGGCCGTCTATGTTTATTCTCCGATGCGATCATAGCATCCTGAGACTTCCTAATATGTTCAACGGCCTGCTGCAGCATCTGTTCATATTTGACAGCAAAGTCTATGCTGCCAGGTGCTGCAGTGGGTTGTGTTTTTGGTAGCAGAAAGTCAAGTGCAGTTCTGGGTTTCCAACCAAGATGTAAATGGTTGGGAGTCATACCGGTAGTACTGTGCACAACATTGTTGTACAGGCTGGAGACGAGAGGTAACTTCTCGTCCCAGTCATCCTGACTTGGCTTAATATAATGTCGAAGCAGGTGCTGTACTACCCGGTTCATCTGTTCTGCCTGGCCATTTGACTCAGGGTGATTCCGTGAGCTCATTTGGAGTTTTGTGCCCATCTGTTCAGCAGTCGACTGCCACAGTTCACTTGTGAATCTCACATCCCTATCACTAACGATAGATGTAGGTAGACCGAAATCACGTACCCAATTATCCATAAACAGTTTGATGACGTAGTCAGTTTTAGCCGTTTCTGGCATAGCGATCAGTCTTGCATACTTAGTAAAGCGGTCCACTATTACGAAGATGTGCCTCTTGCCGGACTTACTGGTCACAACAGTATCCATGAAGTCCATGGACACACTCTGACCAGGTCCTTCAGGAATCGGCAAGGGCTTGATGAGCCCAAGCGGTGCATGAGTCCTAGGTTTGTCCCTTCGGCAAACCTGGCAGGTTTCAACATACCTTTTCACATCTTGCATCATATTGGACCACCAGAACTTCTGTACTAGGTTAGCTGAAGTCTTTTTGTAGCCAAAATGACCAGTTGCATCATGACATTCTCCTAAAAATAAACTACGCAAAGACTCACTACTGGGAACACACAATCTTTTATTCCCTGCCTTTTCAAGAAACATCAAGCCGTTTACCATCGTAAATTCGTCGAAAGTCTTTTTGTCCTTTGCTTGGAATCTACGAATGATCTCAGACATAACTGGATCTTGCTGATAGGCATCCACCAATGATCGAGTCAAGTCGCCAGATATGCCAAATTCAGTCACTAGTGCGCCCAGATAATCTGCCCGACGAGATAACGCGTTAGCCACCTTGTTGTACTCTCCCTTGATGGGATCAAGTTGATAGTCATACATATCTATCACTTGAATCCACAACTTGAGTGCGTCAGAGAGAACTGGCTGTGTCTTAATCCAACGCAAGGTTTCATGGTCAGATCTCACATAGAAGAATCTGCCGAGGAGATAGGGTCTCCAATGTACCAGCGCTCTATACAAGGCATAGAGCTCACGCTCATAAGTGGACTTAGCTAGTTTTTTAGATGGCATCTTTTTGCTCATATACTCGATAGGCCTCAACCTGGGCCCCTCCTTTTGCGCAAGAACTGCGCCTATGCCGTATTGGCTGGCGTCTGTACTCACAACAAATGGCTTATTAGGATCAGAAAGTTTAAGAACTTCGTAGTGTGTCAGGGCATACTTCAGTTTCCTGAAGGTCGCCTCACACTCTTCAGTCCACCCCCAAGGGGTGTCAAGTCGAGTTAGATCTTTTAATGGGGAAGCTATAGTACTATAGTTCTTTACAAACGGACGATAGTAGCCCGTCATCCCCAAAAACGATCCGACCTCAGTAACAGTCTGAGGTCTGGGCCAGTCACGTATGCTGGCCACCTTGGCATCATCCGGCCTCAGTCCATCTGCTGAGATTTCATGACCCAAGTACAAGATCTTGGTGCGACCGAACTCGCATTTCTCCAAGTAAACCTTGTACTGGTGTTGTCTTAGGAGACCTAGCATTGTTTTCAAGTGCTCAGCGTGATCCTCTACAGTCCTACTAAAGATGAGAATATCGTCGAGATACATGACGATAAAATTGTCTAAGTAGTCATGAAAAATATTGTTCATCGCGTGCTAGAATGTACCAGGTGCATTGCATAGTCCAAAGGGCATCACCACAAACTCATACAGACCGTACCTGGTCTGAAATGCGGTTTTGTGCTGATCCTCAGGCCTAATGGCAACTTGATGGTATCCGGACTTCAGATCTATCTTGGTGAAGTACCGGCATCCCTGCACTCTATCCAAGAGGTTGTCGATGCGGGGTAGGGGCTCAACGTTCTTAATAGTGATGGCATTGAGGCCCCTATAGTCAATGCACATCCTCAGGGTACCTCCCTTCTTCGGTACGAATAAGACTGGAGCGTCGTAAGGGGAGGTACTAGGCCGAATCCATCCCTTTTCTGTGAGCTCCTTGAGCTGGCGGCGAAACTCATCTAACTCTATAGGAGACATCCTATAGATTCGTCCTCTAGGTACCTTACTACCTGGGACAACCTCTATTGCATGGACAACCTCCCTTTCTAACACGCCTGTGGGCTCCTCAAAAAGGTCTGAATATTGTGCGACGACTGATTCTATCTCTGGGGGTGTTTTTACGACCTCCCCTTTCTCAGAGACAAATACTTGATATATGCCCTCCTCGCGATTCTGTTTAAAATAGTTATAAAAAGATAATGCACATATGCACCCGTAGTTTTCTATCAGACTACTAGCTTTAAACTTCTGCAATCTAACAGATCTACCGTTGGGCAATTTGTGAATCAACACCTTTCTATCCCAATCAAACTGCGGTTGCGCGACCTCGAGGTAGTAGGAGCATATCAAAGGGCAGTTCGTCGCTAACCAGGAAGGAGATTTTATGGCTCACTTCCCCTCCTCCATAGGAGAAGGTACAAACTACGTCCTTGACATAGTCTTTTACCAACATTTGGTGCTCGTTGGCCAGCGTAGAAGCTACAATTCTGCTAAGCCGCTGCACTTGGTCCCCTAAGCGCAGTCTATCCACACAAGCACGACTGATGAAGTTCCGTGTAGAGCCTATGTCTGCGAAGGCGCCAACCTTACGACCCCCTACATCAACCTCTACCACGAAATGTTCACCCTTTGGACCTCGACTGATC